CGTATCCTTCACCCTACTGCTACTTCTTTCAGACACATCTCATTTCATGTTGAAAATGGGAGACATATTGTGAGGGATTCTGCTACAAACCTAACATACACGGCACCACTCGGAGTGGGGGATGAAGAGCCATTCGTTGGTGATTTTCAGGAGGATCATCAGCAGCAACAAGGACAAGCAGCAGGTCAGGGATGGAACATGCAGGCAACTTGGGGGGACTTTGTGGGGAGACAAAACACACATAACCAGGAGGTGCAGGCTTGGATGGGGAGAACATATATATGGATGGAGGGTGTCGACACGACACTGGCTGACCTTACTGAGCAGATGCGACATGTTGGCATTACAGCTAGCAACACTTATAGTGGTTCCACTCGTCAGCTGTACCAGCAGGAGTACTATACAGATGCTGCCTACAGACAGAGTCGTGTCCAGTATGAACCGATGGACATTAATTAGCCACAGATTCGATACCGAGCTCCAGCTCCGGTCTTCTAGCGATCCGGAGATCCGAGCAACTATCCACCGCCATCCGAGTATGAGCATTATCAGCCACCACCAGCTACAGAGGACTCTACTCGCTTTGAGGATTTAGCTGGATCGATCTTTGGGTATCCTCCACCGTACCCACGATATCCTCCACAGCCGCCCCCGCAGTGAACTTTGGTGAGATCCTCTTTTGATTTTTATTTTTATGGTTGTGTGATGAAGACTTTTTCTTTTTCTTTTCATTTTTATTTTGATTTTCATGTCTTTATTTGGGATGAATGTACTGCTATTAAACTCATTATTATTATTATTCTCTCTTGGGTTGGTTCCATGAAATACGTGATGAGTTAGTAGCATCTTTATATCTTGAATGCAACTCATCAAGATGGAAAATGATAGGAGTTTCGTACATCGAGTCATAATATCTATTTAATATTGATTTTGTGGGTTGCTCAGCTGGTTTGGAAATATTTATATTTATTTAAAAATTGGTATGTGAAATACCCAAAAGTGTTTGAAAAATGAAGGTTTTTGGCTCAAGCCTACGATCTTTCAATTGAGGACCCAACCGAACAATATGTGTCATCACGCTCTGAGTACTTGGTCTTACTTACTCCTGCGCCTTTGGGGTTGGGAGGGGACTATTATTGTTTTCACACAACCAAAAAGCATCATAAGACATTGAAGAACTTCAAAGTATATATATATTCAAGCTAAAGTCAAATACAAAGATGATCAAATCCGATGAAGCCATCAAAGAACTTGAAGAATGCACAATCAAGATAAACATGAAGAAAAGTTCAAGTTGAAGATATTGTGTGAAACAATATGTGACCCCTCGATAGCAGGAGTGTATGGGTTGGTCCATTAAGTGTTACCGACCGCGCTAACTATGTTAGTGAACCTTGAAAAGGGGACTTTGGCAATGAGTTCAACTGATTACTCATGAGGTTGATTATTGGAAAGGGTTCAAAAAGTGGAGGGTTTCAAACAACAAAGTAAAATAAGCATAACATGTGTTTTGAGTTTAAAAGTCCGGATAAGAAACTAATAATCCCCGAAATCAATATATTGTGGTTATTGAAAGTATTGTGATAAAATGTACGGAATTCGTGATTCCATTGTGTTTTTCTTAGGATAAGAGAGTAAGACTACACTGATTATTTCAGGCCAATCTCGGGACGAGTTTGGAATAAAGTTGGGGAGGTTTGATAAGTCCATTTTATAAATGTACTAAATTGTCATAAATCTGTTGAATTGATGTATAATTGTCCAAGAATGGCACTACTTTGATGAGTTGTTGAACTTCATATGCAGGTCAATATATTGTACTAAAAGTGGGCGGAACCTGCAAGTAAAACGGATTGCTAAAGTAATGATGAAACGTTGCTGGGAAAATTGATCATGCTTCAACGTTTTGGTCATATCTTAAGTTCTGGAAACTAGACAAGATTTGCTACAACTTTCGTGTTTTGTGTTTCTGCTAGTTATGTCGTTTTGACCACCAAAACTTGCACGGAAGATGAAGGACGCCTCCAGGCGTCTAAGACGTCCCCTAGGACGTCCAGGTCAAACGGTCAGCATTTCGTCGTTATTTCAGAGCAGAAAAGAAGGAAGAACCCCGTCGGCGTCTTACATGGCGTCTAAGACGTTCCCTAGGACGTTTTGGCATTTTAGGGACGTCCCGTGTTAGAACGGTGTGTTTCGGAAAGTTTGGGGATCAAGGAAGTGCGTCCTAGAACGCGTCTAAGACGTCTCCTAAGACGTCTGACGTTTTTGGCCATTTTTTAGTGTATTTCAAGGACGGCAGAAGGCATGTTAGGACATACAAAGAACGCTTGGGCGTTATACACAACGTCTAAGACGTCTCCTAGGACGTCCAACGTCCCACATCGCCAGTTTTCACTCTTTTCTGTCAAATAATATAAATAGGGACTTGTGCATTCGTTTTTAGGGTTACCACCTGCGATTTTCAGAGTTTTTCCTCCGTTTTTGAGGCTTCTAAAACCCTTAGAAACATTTGGAAACACAAGTCCATTCCATTTCAATCCGGATTCAAGGCAAGATTCGATTTAATTCATCATTAAGCAACATTTGAAGATCATTCAACCGGTGATTCTCATCAATTCTAGTAATTTTCAGAAACGATTACTTCCTCCCAAGGTTTACTTGTTCTATACTTTGATAATCATTAGGCTACATTTGTGTGATGATTCTACGTTTGTTTATGAATTCTATTATGCATTTTATTCATTTTAATCAAGTTATTTGTTTTATGAACTCAATGGAAGGCTAAACCGTTAGGGTTACTTCCGGGGATGTTTATGACTTTTGGATGAACACACTTGATTATTACTTGATTCTAATTAATTTCAATTGTTATTTTATGCTTCATATGATAATCTTTGGTAATGATAAGTGAAATTGGGTTGTATGAATTGTTTGATGTCATAATTAAGATAGTCTATTGTCAATTCATCATTTGTTCCAAGTTCAATTAGTTTAGAAATAAAGACAAGTGATTGAATCAACATATATTATTCCAACTTATGATATTGAATGTTAATGCGGTAATAGGTAGTTGTAAGACATTTTATTGCTAGTTCACTAATTGTCCCTAATCCATACAGACATAAATGAGTAAGACAACTAGTTGAATGAACATCTAGTGTACCCAAAACTATGTGTTACAAGTTAATAAACCCCAATTGCATCTATGTAATTGAATTAGGATTCTAGGGAAGAAAGTGTGTGAATCTAAACTGTCCATAACTGAACCGGGAGTACTCTAGTTTTCTCATTGAGATTTTTATTTTTAATTAATAAATTTCCAAGCTTTTGTTTGAATTTTGTTTTAATCTTTTTCGTGACAATTGCTAGTAATACTTTTCTTTTTATTGATTGCTTTGACACAAAGTTTAATTACAAACTCCTTGTGGATTCGACCCGACTTACCCTATCTACTTAGGTTAGTTAGTTTATTTTTGACTGAGACAACGACCTCGATCAGATAGCAGCGCATACACCTGTGTTTTCCTTGAAATATGTGATCTCAGGGAATGAACTCTAATGATTGTTTTACTTGAAATGCTTTCCAATATTTGGACAAAGTTTACAATAGTGTTTTATTATAATAAAAATGAAAATTTTTTTATCCTTGATTTTTGGGATGTTATAGTTCTGATATAAGTTAGAAATTGAACACTTTGACAAACGATAAACAATTTCATGAAAAGAGTAATATTGCAGAACGATAAACAGAACACAATATTTACTTGGTTCACACGATCATGATGATCAGCTACGCCCACAGGCAAACATAAGAGAGTTTTATTATTTCTGCCATACGGCTTCGGTATGATAAGCTTAAATGAATTCAATGAGTATAAATACTAGTGTGTTGACCTAAAGTTGTTCAGAGGACCAAGTCTGACAACACTAGCCGGTGATGAAATTTAATGTCACATCTAATACAAGACATCATGTTTTTGGTTTGCCTAATGGCTATATGATCAAAGGGTGAATCAGTCTCCATAAATTAACACACACAAACACAATTATCTAAACGATGAGAGATATAAAAGATTAAAACAAAAATACAAAGATTTAAGTGGTTCACATTATTAGAATAATCGTGTATTATAGAACTAAAAAGAGTTTTTATTAATAACCTTCAATGTACAGCTGTCGACACATACAAGGGTAACAATCAATGAGACGTATTTTTAAAAATCGTACTCTACTACCAACAACCTCTGCCGTCAATGCTCTGTGGTCTCTATCCTCAAACAGCGACGCCTCTCATCATGGCTGAACCCTGTATCCTGGAACCTCTCTTTTCCTTTAACTTAGATTAGTCTACACGGTTGCATTAAACTAGAAAATTTAAAACAATAGAAAATCCATTATTTTTGGAGTAAATTACACGAATGGTCCCTATGGTTTAGGGTAATTTGCGCGTTTGGTCCCTAACTTGTTTTTTTAACTCGGAATGTCCCTACTGTTTGTTTTCGTTACGCGCTTGGTCCCTACTGTTTGTTTTTGTTACGCGGTTGGTCCTTGTCTTACCTAAAAAGAATATTATTTAAATAGAGAAAAATGGTGTGGTAGGTAAGATAAGGTGATGAGGGTGGAGTTGGGGGTGTGTTTATTTAAATTATTTAAAAAATCAATGGGAAAATAGTGTTTTTAGGTAAGACAGGGACCAAACGCGCAACAAAAACAAACGGTAGTGATATTCCGAGTTAAAAAAATAAGTTAAGGACCAAATGCGCAAATTACCCTAAACCACAGGGACCATTCGTGTAATTTACTCTTATTTTTTATTTCATGCATTATGCCTAAAATTAAGAAATATAGTCGTATCCATTTACAACCACCGGATTCTAGTCTTCGCGGTCGTCGTCAACAGTACACCTTTTTTTTTTTTTTTTTAATCACATTGTCGTCTTCGTCCAGTGAAGCAAACCAATAATTATTCGACTCGAAACAGTAATTACCCACTCGCTTCAATGACGTCCATCCTGTCTTTCTTTCTTCTCATCCTCCTCTCTTCACTATCACTTGCTTCCTCACAGTATGCCTTACCGGACCACTACTTTATCAATTGTGGATCAAACTCCGAGGTCGATTTCACCAACCGAAAATTCGTCGGCGACGTCAACCCCTCAACTTTCTCCATCTCCGGTGGCCATGTCGCCGCAGAAAGCAACAACCCGCCAACCGATACGCCGGCTATCTACCGAACAGCAAGAGTTTTCATTAAGAAATCATGGTACGAACTCGAAGCAGATGAAATCAACACTTTCGTCATGGTAAGCCTTCATTTTTCCCGATTCTCTACTAATGGATTTGAATTTTCCAATTCGAAACTCGACGTTTCTGTGTCCGGGTTCTCTCTGTTATCTGGTTTTAGCACCGGAAACACGACTGTGATTAGGGAATTTATATTCCCGATTGGGTCTGAACGAAAGTTTAGAATCGAGTTTACACCCTCCCGTGGATCATCTTCTGCGTTTGTAAACGCCATTGAAGCTTTCACGACACCATCGAATCTATTCAGGCCCGCCTCCAGTTTCCCACGTATTTCACCCGCCGGAAGTATTGGTGATCTGGAGAAGTTAACATCGGATTATGCTTTCAACCCAATTCATAGAGTTAACGTCGGAGGACAAACGGTCAACATAGATCGTGACACCTTAAGAAGAACCTGGACACCTGATGATTCCTTCATCTTCAACAATGGACCAGCAAGAAACGTCACTTTTGATCGCCGGATTAATTATGTTGACGGCGGAGCAACCTCATTCGATGCTCCTGATGATGTTTACAAAACAGCCAAACAATTGAACAACAGCTTGGTAAACATTACTTGGATTTTCAACGTCAATAAGAATGCCATGTATCTGCTTCGAGTTCATTTCTGTGACATTATAAGCACAGCCCTCGTCAGTCCCACCGACGCTTTCAACTTCTTTGTCTACAGCCACCACAAGGAGGAGATTCAACCGGGTAACACAATCCGGGTGTTACAAGCTCCGTTTTATCTTGATTTGGTAGTGGAATCCAATGATTCAAATCGTTTGAATATCAGTATTGGCGCAATTCGTGGTAACAATCAGCCGGTGTTCTTGAACGGAGTCGAGATCATGGAGATGTTGAAAATCTCCGGTGTGCGTGATCCAGTCAACGGGACGAAGGGAAAGAGTGTATTCATCGTGGTTGGATGTGTTGTTGCCGGTGTAGCTTTTGTGTTGGTTTTATTAGCAGGTTTCTTCATCAGATCAAGATGTGGGAAACGAAAGCAGGTGGTGGTCGGAGCAAAATCAGAGTCTCACGTGGTGCCATCACATGGCCGGAGTACTTCATACACAGACATAAACGTTGACTTCACAGTCAACCATCCATCACCAGTCCTAGACCTGAATCTTAGGGTCCCATTTGCCGACATAGTACAAGCAACAAATAATTTCGATGAAAATTTAATGATTGGTAGAGGGGGTTTCGGGAAGGTGTACAAAGGGATACTTCATGGGACCAAAGTGGCGGTCAAACGAGGCGAACATGGTCACGGTCAAGGTCGGCCGGAATTCGTGACGGAAATCATGGTGTTGTCTCGGATCCGCTACAAACATTTGGTGTCTTTGATCGGTTATTGTGATGAAAATAACGAAATGTTACTCGTATATGAGTTTATGGAAAAGGGTACTCTTCAAGATCATCTATATGATTCAGATCTCCCAAGACTCTCGTGGGAGCGGAGGCTTGAGATGTGTATCAGTGCGACCAGAGGGTTGCACTACCTTCACACGGGTTCAGAAGGCGGGATTATTCATCGTGATGTGAAATCAACGAACATTTTGTTAAACGAACATTATGTAGCAAAAGTTGCCGATTTCGGGATATCACGGTTGGATAATGTGGATGAAGGTGAACATTCGGATGTTAAAGGGAGTTTTGGGTATCTGGATCCTGAATACGTTAGATGTATGAAATTGACGCAAAAATCAGATGTTTACTCATTCGGTGTGGTACTGCTTGAAGTTTTGTGTGCAAGGCCCGCTCTCGACCACAGACTTCCTGCAAAGGAAGTGAATCTGGCAGATTGGGCAATTAAACAGATAAAAAATGGGAATCTTGAGAACATAATCGATCCATTTCTTACAGGTACAATTAATCATGACTCGTTAAGGAAATTTGTGGAAATAGCTGAGCAATGTTTGAAGGAAACGGGAGACGAAAGGCCGAGTATGATTGATGTGTTGTGGGATTTAGAATATGTTTTGAAACTTCAACTAATGTCAGTGGATCGTGAGTCGTATGATGATACCACGATAAATACTTCATTTCAGTTGCCGATGTCGATAATTGATAGGTTGCCTTCTCGACTTAATGATGATTATGATGTGAATGATAGCTCGATTTCGAGTTATCCGAGTGAGAGCCAAGTGTTTTCCCAATTAAAGATTGATGAAGCTCGATAGTTATTAATATACTTTATTGATATATCGATTTCTCCTGGATATATAATTTTGTATTTCTTTTGTGAACCATTATATAAGGGTTTGTATAAACATATTTTTTTCAAGTGGGGACAACAAAAATAGGGTCCTTAAATTACTAAAAAACTTATAGGTGAATTGTTAGGGAGAGTAAAAGACAATTACATGTGATTGAGATTTGGGAATAAAAAGCTTTGTTGATACTTCCATATTTCCCCCAAATTACCAATAAGTTGGATATATTGAAGAAAAAAGAGAGACAAACTCAAATACATGATGATGTATTGCTTTATCCTTAAAGCTATGGATTTTCTTCATCACCAATGACCCAAAGATAGTGGAAACACACATGGACATGGTCCACCTCCACCTATAAAAAAAATAGAAAACAACAGTTTAAACAACAGTATCTCCAAAACTTATTTTTCAACTTATTACTTTGCTTTATATTAGCTATGACGTATTACAGACGGAGTTTTTATTTTATTTTATTTTATTTTATTTTATTTTATATAATTTCATCTTTAGTATATTCAACTCCCTCGTCATGTAATCATATTTTCCTTTTACCCTATAATTATATTTTAGCTTTAAATATTTTTAATTTATTTACTAATTAATTATTTTTATCAGATATTTAATGACATATTACACAAGAAATATAAATCTATAACGATTATTTAATATTTTCAATTTTTTTATAATTATGACATGATAATTTTTTAGTATTTTACGTTTATAATATAAAGGCTCGGTATACATTTATTTCTATTTTTGTTTGTTTGTAGCATTCAACGTGTATAAGATATGATGTATGTTTAAAAATAAATAATTAAACAGAGAGAATTTTATAGACTATTTTAAATAGATAATGATAAATCATGTAGACTTAATGAAAAAATTATTCGAAGAGTTTAACCATTAGAGGGATTATTTAACTATAGGTTAAAGTTAATAAAATGATGAGGTGACAATAATTTTAAGGGATAATATAAGTTAACAATTGGAGATGCTATAATTAGCAACAAAGGTAAAAGATAAAGTGGTATTATTAGGAAAACCATATTTTTTCAGAGTTTTCAAGAAAGACGTGTAAATTTGAAGTGTTGATTGAATACATTTATATCTATATCTATATCTCTAATAATAAAGACATATTTCCAAACACTATATTTATTTGAAAATCTCACTACAATTCAAGAGTTTTTAAATTTATGTATATTTAGTACTTACAACCAAAGAGTTTTTAACTTATACTTATTAATTGATAATGACTAATGACTTTTTATTTCACTCTTATTTATACACTTTATAACTTATCTCTTCTCTCTGTTATAATAAAAGACTCTTTTGGCACGTGTCACTCCTCTCCTTTCAGATTTCGTCCATTGTTAAATTACCATGCTGTCTTTCTATACATATACGATTTCCAACGCTTTTTAATATAGTCAACCTCTTCTTCTTCAACCTCACACTAAACCCTAAAATCAAAAGATCAAAATTCATATTCACAGCTTCTTATTTTCTTTCCCTCCTCTATTAACCGTAAATGCTAATTTCAAGATTACATCTGCTGCAACTCTCTTATGTCTAGGTGAGTTAGATCACTTATTTCCATCTCTATGTATATATGATTTTTCAATTCCAGGAAGTATTAAAAAATTTTGTTTTCTGTTATCAACAAATCACTAAGTTTAAAGATATGAGTCTTTTGTTTCAGTATCATCGCATCTCCAATATCTATCATATTAGCAAAAATCATTGTGTTTTGCATCTTTTTTTGAGCATGACAATAATTTGATTAATCGGTTTTTAGGAAAATAAATTTTTTAAAGGTGAAGGAAAACATAGAATAACTGAAGTTTTCCTGTGTGAGACGTAGAAATGTATGAAGAACTGACTTTAAAATACAAACATGGTATTAAGTTTATGTGACTATTTGTCTACATGTGTATTTGTGGCTGTGTGCATTTATTTAATTATATATGTTTGTAACTGTGTGTGTACGTTTGTGACTATGTTTACTTGTTTGGAAATGATGGTGGTCTTGATTGGGATGCCCCTAAATTTGCTATAAAGTAATACATATATAAGGTCATTCTCAAATCGATTTTCATATTATTGTAGTGGAGATGTCAAGTACATTGCTCATAGTTGCAATCCACAGTGTTCAGATTATATGTTGATTTGCATTTTTTTATCGACTTTTCGTTCATGTATCCTCAACTAATTGAAATTGTTGTGCTTTGTTTTGTTTCACGCTAGGCCAACTATGTATCAAGTAGTGCAAGATATGGTGATTTGACAATGTTACAGTTTTCTATTTATTAAAATGTATGGAAGAATATTTGTTTCTTTTTTACGTCTTACTTTTGCTCACTTGAAGCAAGGTTGTCATGTGACTTATTGACCGTAGAGAACAACATTTGCTGAAAGATGATTAGCTTAAGGTCATTTGAAAGATGGTTCTCATGTGACTTTTCTGAACAAGCATTTTATGCTTTGACTTTACATGTATTCCCTACTAAAAATCATTTCAATGTTTGTTTTAATCAAATTTTGTAGGAAATGGAGAGTTTTCTGCCTTGATTCAAAGGAATTACAAAGAATGAAAGCATATCTCTCCCACTTTTCACCATCTCTGTAACTATATGTGTTTGTGTGTTTGTATTTCAAGAAATGAGTGTTTCTGTGAATCAAAAGTAGCTAATGTTTACTTGAAGTTTTTTGTGAACCAAAAGTAACCAATGTTAACATTCTTTAACATTTTCGGTTTCTTAAAGTAAATTGATAAAGTTTTTTGGATTTGTATATTAATTCAGCTGGAATATAAGATAGATGGTGGTATATTTGCAAAGAGTTTCGGATTATTAATAGGTCAAAATGGTTAAATTTGACATTTTAACAAGTTGACCAATTTAAGCAACACATGTGTTTGTTTAGTTCTGATTACTTGAGGATGACAGTGTTGTATTAAATCTTATAATTTATGCAGGTACAGAAGCTTAAAGCTAGCAATTCGAAATTTTATTAGGAAAAAATAAACATATTTGTTCTTCACATGATCATGTTTGTTGGGTGTGTATCAGATTGTTCTACAACGATTGTGTATTAATGCAGGTGATGTCAAATTAAACACATCTTCATCTTCAAGTTTTGTTGCTAACCTTTTGTATTCACCCATTAAATTATCCCATAGTTTCTGTCTTCAAATTTTAGACATCTAACTTCTGTTGATCACTATACATCTACTTAAAATGTTGTAATTATTTTGGGTCGTAGAGGCAATAATTTCTTTAGATTTGTGAGGAAGAATGGTCATTTTGTTGTAGCAAACCTTTCACAGTGCAACTATACACTATAGTGAAGCAAAAAGCTATACCAAAATGAACAGATCCGTTCAAGATGTTCATGAGTCCAAGGTAAGATATTCTTGGTTGCTATTTCAGTGTGTAACATTTAGTCAAACACTATCTTTTTGACTTCTTGTTCTCTATTATAGGCAGTAATGAAAACTTTCATGGAAAGCACATTGCATTCATCTAAACCTGATAAACTCTTAGGCTTATATGGTTCCATATATCAAGTTTTATGGTACTAATTTTATATTTAGATTCATATGTACCCCTAGAAGGAATCTCCATATATATGTGTATAATAACTAAGCTAGCAAATAAAACATGTTTTTTTATTGTTAATGGTGTTGTTCATATATGTGGTTAAGTACGTCAATCAAGAAAATGTTCAAGGATAAAGAAGTGTTTCCTTAAGTTATGTTCTGATAAATGTCATGATCGAATAAATGATCACTTCTTTATAATTATTCATTATATATGATGGTGTTTCATGTTTGGCAAGAGCCTTGGTGAAACTCATAAATAGTTAATATTCATATTTAAAAAGGATATAAGAATAAAAAGGGACTCAAAATTTAATAAAATTTTACAAATTTTTTACTCGTGGCTTCCACGAGTCATAAACTAGTATTAGTAGTATATAAGTAAGTTTTGTTTTCAAATATTTTTATGATTTTAAAGAGATTTGTGATTCAAAGAATTGAAGAAATTAGTTTTATTGAATCTTGAGTTAATAGTGTTTCTATATATCAAATGTATATCAATTTCTGTATATTCTTCTTAATAATTTATACGGTTTAATATTATTTTAATACAATTGTTATAATATATGTTTTAGTGTTTTTAAGTTATTAAATATTATTGTATTTATTTTTTCATACTTTTTCTTATTCGTTATATATAGATGATCATATGTTTGATATACAATTTACAAAACTTTAAACGATTTATAAAGTTGTCAATTAATGGTATGCATCACCAATGATTTAAAACTATGATGTTTAATAAAACTAATAGGTTGACTATATGTTTGATTTACTACTGGGATTTGTTTTTCAAATAGAAATAATAAACAATAAATTGTTAAAAGGTATTATTTTAATTATATAGTTATATTTTTGCACAATGCGCACAGATTCGCCTGGTTTTAATATAATATGAAGCAATAATGTATTATAATTTCTTACTTTTAAATAAGATAAAAAAGAATATTTCTGCGTCGATCCTTGCCAAGACTTGTCTGGCTTATCTTGATTCTCATTTGACGTAGAATATTTGATCGAAACAAGAAATGCAAATGTATTGCAATTTACAGGGTGAGAACTCGATAATACTCTTTGATGCCTAAGTTAGACATGGGGTCATGGGATTACTGTGAGACAATGTGAGTGCATGCAGCATGTGACTTGTTTCCTCCTTGCCATTGTAACATCCCAAAAATACTAAGTGACAATCTATGTTTTAAATCAACCAAAACCATCAATCATTCATTCCAAAACCATCAAAATATGATAATGTATAACATAGTTATCACGGTACAAATCATGTCATAAAATATGGAACACTGGTGGATACGATGCAATCACGTCGAGCTCTTCCCCTTGGAACCGGAAGTACGTAAAAAAC